AACTGTTAATGAAATTGAACAAAATTTCGCTAATTCAAAAAATGTTCATGAATGGAAAAATATCAAAAAAATTCAAAAAACTGTTTGGGACTTACCAAATGTCTATTCATTCATAAAATGTCGCTAATTAAAAAAATGATCATGCATTTAAAAAATGTTCGTTAAATCAAGAAAATTGTTTGTGAATTTCGAAAATTGTTCCACCATATTCCAAAAAAAATGTTCGTCGATTCAAGAAAATTGTTTAGAAAAATGTTCATAATTTTTAAAAAAGTTTGCCAATGGTATAAAATATCCATTAATTCAAAAAATGTTCTTGATTTTAGAAAATGTTAAAAAAATGTAAAATTGTTCACGAATTTGAAAAATGTTTACAATTTCAATATGTGCACGAGTTTAAAAAAATGTTCATGATTTCACGAAATTGAGAGTGATATTGTATCTCGGTGATGTAGCAAAATGTGGTCATGGCCTGAGGATTATGATTTTTCTTTCTCCCGTTACAACGCATGAGCCCTTTTGCTGGTCCATCTAACAAGGAGAAGTCCACTCTGCATTATCTAACTTTGCCTTGTGTTTGTACATACATGTGCATATATTCCTTTTCCTTGTGCCTTTATGATAGATCCATGGTCTCCAAATCCCTTTTCCTCCCTCTATATAAATAAAAAATTGAGTAGGATGAGTTTGCATCCAGATGTAAGGTGTCTTGCAGCGATGATAGTATAGGAGCCATTAAGCAGATTGCCGGGAGGAGAGACATACCCGTTCGCTCGTGCAAGCGACCTAAGGCGCACAGCTAGGGGTTTCGTGTCTCTTGTCAGCGCCGTCGTCGGTTCGCCTCGTCTCCTATGGTCCTAGGACCATGGAAGCGCGGTGGATCCTGACTCTTGTCGGTAGGAAGCTTCGTTTTTAGGTGTTTTTCTAAGTTTTATCAAGATTTATGCCATGATCAGGAAGACGACGTTGTAGCGGCTTTCTGAAGATGGAATAAGGTTCTTCCCGTCTAGCCCTCGTCCGGGCTGTGCTTCTAGCACCGTCGGAGGGCGTGTGAAGGTGTGTTTTCGGTGAATCTCGTGGGATCCGGTCGACGTCTGTCTTTCAGTAGATCCGCTTGGATCTAGTCTTCATTCGTCTACGTCTGTGTGTCTGCAGGTTGGATTCTTCCAATCTACATTTCTCTTCATTGACGGCGGTTGTTGTTCTGGTGCGTTGGTCCTATGAGGCCTTAACACAACGACTTTCCAACTGACTAGTAGAACAATGTTTGTCCGGCTCCGACGAGGGAGGGATGGACGCCTTCAGCTCGCTCCAATGCTTGTAGTCGTCACTAGGTGGTCTATAGACCTGGATGTAATTTTTACTTCTAGTGTTTTTCGTGCTACCTTGACAGTTGATGAATAGATTAGAAGTTTTCTGGAAAAGAAAACAGATTGTCGGGCAGATCTAGCTGGTACGGTCGGTGGTGTTCTGGGGGATGCATAGCACGGTTACCATATTAGTTGTATCATTAACTTATTTAAGAATCATCTATTATTTATGAAAAAAATGGATATGTATTTCTGGGTCTATTTAAGACACAAGAGTTGTAGGAATTGAAAAATGTTATTTGCTTCCTCTATGCTTCTTTAACTTTAGAACTTGGTTTACAGCAATCTTGAACTTCACATCGGTGATGTATACCTAACTCATCTTGATTTTCTCAAATCAGTTGTGAGCCTAAAAACATAAGTGATAACATAACATATATCTAAACAAATAGATGATGTGACAAATAATTAACGAAAAAAGAGAAGCTACAAAATGAGTCTATAATTAAAAAAACAAGTGTTGCAAGATGCCACACATATGTTACTACCCATTATAGAGGTAGTAACATAGACTAATAATTTTTGCATGTTACTAGTCTAAGTTACTCCCTACTATGCAGATAGAACTAGCTAAATATAATACATTATGAAAAATGTATTTTGCATCTGTACAAGGCCACCAACAATAATCGAGACAAAAATTAAAAATATGTTTTCATACTAGCAACATATTTAATACTTTCATACATACAATCGTGATGACACTCAACTACTCTTTTTCTCTCTCAAGGTCCAGTTTCCTATTCCTTCGTTGCATCTACGTATTAATGATTCTAGTAAACAAAAAGAAAAGCTAGCTTGCAAAGTAAACATTAAATATTACATCAATACTTGTAATCTGAATTTGTGGTCTTGTATATAGAAATGGAGGGAGTATTGATTTTGCTAAATCTCATTCAGCTGAGAGTTAACAAAGTCTCAGCCAACCCCATTACCGTAGGATGCAGGGGCTTCAAGACCTGTGCAGATTGGCTCGGTTGTCCACTTGTTCCGTCGTCTGGACTAGCAGGGATGGCCCGTCTAGGATTATGTGCTTTTTTTTCTTTTTTACAACAGGCATGGGCTGGGTTTTGCGGGCCCTTTTCTTCCATGTGCGTGGTTGTTGTTCTCGGGTGTTGTGACTTGTGTCTTTTATCGCTTTTTCCTCGCATATGTTGAGATAGAGGGAGAGCCATTGTATATACTAGATGATACCCGTTGTAATATATTTCAAAAAGTTCTGCAGGGGGCAATATATTTCATTTGATTGTATGAAATATAATATTTAGATTAATAACATGTGAACCAAAACTAAAAGTACATATGCCTTATTATATTTAATCATGTATGATTATAAAATATTTGTTGAACATAAGTAGAATAATAAAGTGAAAAATTCTTCCATGCATGGTTGCATGTAGTGGTGGGTATTGTTCCATGCATGGTTGTATGTGATGTGGGCTTTATCTAATCCATAATTGTATGGTGATATGACATGTTTACGTGTTGAGACAAAAAAGATAGTCAAAATGAACATCTTAGGTATATAGGATACTGCTTGTAACATGTGGGCTTTTCACTTTTTGTGTCTGAGTTTTTTTTCCTTTGATCTAGGTGTTCTTACATGATGCTATTTTTTTTGTTTTCCTATATTGTTTCTTATTTTGCGAGGGATTCCTACATTGTTTCTTTAATCAAAACTTGCTTCTTTGTACTTATTATTCTGTTCAAATTTTTGGACAACGCTAACGCCCACACGTGTGGTGGGAGCCAAACTCGCTCACACGTTCTATAATACACATATTGCGCCACGTCATCGCATGTATGCATGGGAGAATTTTTTGGGTTTTCAGCTTTAAAATGTTTTATCTCTTAAATGAAAAATCCGATTGAAGATCTGTTTTCACCATTAAATCCCTTGCGACGAGATCTTTGAAACTAGATCTCATATCACTATATTTCGATGACTTTTTTGAGTTAAAAGTTGACATGTCTATTGCACATGAATTGCCATGATGTTTACATTAAAGTTGCCATGATATGTTTCAGTTATTTTCTTCTACATTTAAAAGTAAATTTTGACATATTATAAAATGGGGAATTAAGAAACTAGACTTGCCATGAACCATAAACTAAAATGGGAAAATTTTGTTTTTGCCACCCTAGATTTTGCCAATTTTCCTTATGCCACTCTAGATTTTTGACACTTCACTTCTGCCACTCTTAGTTTTTGACAATTATCACAATTGCCATTCCCGTGGCAAAAGAAAAATTTTCAAAGTGGCAATTGTGATAATTGTCAAAAGCTAAGAGTGGCAAAAATAAAATAAAATTATTCTACTTTTGGCACAGAGTGGCAATTATGATAATTGTCAAAAGCTAAGAGTGGCAAAAATGAAATGTCAAAATCTAGAGTGGCATATGAAAAATTGACAAAATCTAGAGTGACAAAAACAAAATTTTCCCAACTAAAATTGCCATGATACAGCACTTAAAATTGTCATGGTTCATACAAAAAATATTTTTTATGGTCAAAGTACTGAAATTGCCATCATCAAAAAACTAAAGTTGCCATGCTCTACAAACTAAAATTGCCGCATGGCAACTTTAGCGTAAGCACTATGACAACTTTAGTGTAAACATCATGGCAATTTTTGAAAAAAAAAATCATCAAAACATATCAACATGAGATCTAGAAGTTTTGAAGATCTCGTCGAAACGGATTTAATGGTGAAAACAAATTTTAATTTGATTTTTTAATTAGAAGATAAAACATTTTTAAGCCAAAAACGAAAAAGATTCATGTTGATGTCATGCGAAATGAGTGATGATGGAGGCGTATGAGCAATGTATAAGATGCCACATGTGTGGACGTTAGTTTTTTCGAAAAAAAATTGTTTTGCATTTTTCTTACATCATTTTTTGAACAGTTCACATGTGTCTCGTGATCATTTCTTATTTTATTTATTTAAGACATCTTTTACAATTCCAACTGTATAAACAGTTGTCTTCACATATCATGCACATTATTGAGACCAAAAGATATACCAATAATATTATTTAGCCCTGCATGTATGATTGTAATCTAGCCAAGTCGCTTTCCCTAAAAAAGACATGCAAGTACAATGACCAGCTTTCTTTTTTAGGAAAGTACAATGACCAGCTAGATTGGCGTTGTAGCCAGGTTCGGCGTTTGCAAAGTGCAGCTTTCTCATTTCTTTTATACTAATAGGCATCCACTTCCGAAGTTGTCCAAGAACAGCGCCACCGTAAACTGAAAGAGGCCAATAGCCACTTCATGTAGCCATTGCAAACAAGAAGGCAGTGTCATTGCATCTGCATAACAATGTACTCCAGAAGAGAGAATAACAATTTCACTTATCATACAAGTTCACCTTATGTGAGAACCAAGATTCAGGATGTTTCCACAGGAGGATGTTTCAGGTGACATCTCATCAGTGATCATAATAGCAGGCATCAGTTCTGAAGTGTTCTTGCACACTCAATGAATCTTCGTGCCATGGTGCCTAGAATTCTTCATATAATTCAAACCATAACAATCACCATGTTTCGACAGGTTTTCGCCATCGCATTACCTTCATGCAGTGCAGTAAGGATTCGATCGATGGTGATCACACCCAAACTGCTAGGCTATGCCAACAATGCCTCGTGAATGAGTTTGTTTGCCAGATCCTTTGATAGCCCCATTACACTGTCACTAGAACCAACCTACATGATCAACGAGTTCTTCTTCACATGAGTATAAAATGGAATGTTAGCACCACAATAAGCAGATAAAGATAGAAACTGACCACTGCTTCGACAAACGGCAACACCAATGGATGTTCTAGCAGCAAGCCACCCGCAACCCTAAATACTACCCCCTCAACGATCTAGCAACAAAATGGAGCAAGAGGGTGTAGCTCGGTGACGTAACAATAATTTCAAAACATGCCTTGTAACGAATTCAAACAAGACCATACCAGGTTCTCAATTATCTCATCTGGTATGTCATGGAAGTACACCTGCAGACATCCACAAATATTACATGTATCAAATAACACCAGGTTGCTTTTGACTATAGCAGAGTTATTGGTAGAATCTGAATGAACTCATGCTGTACAGGTTCCTCCTGAACCAAAACACTCAAGGAAATAGAACTGCAAAGTTTTTTACTACAGATTATGAGGTTCCAATTTACGCTAGCTAAGCTAACTATAGCTAGATAAACATATACCAAAGTTTGCTACATTAAGCAAAGAAACTACAATTGATATTGATCTCTGAAATCAAAAGCCAACTCCAAATATACAAATCAATAGGCACTTTGACATTGTGAGGATATCCTTCGCTTGCTTAGATGTTCATCTTACACGAAAGAAGTCGATCGGTTGGACTTCAGTCACACATTAAAATGGGATCACCAATAATCAAACAGGAAGTAATTTGATGGGTTAGTTAGAAGAGTGCTGTACCTCAGCTTTGTCTAAACTGCCAAGCTTCTTGCCAGTTGTAAGATTAGTTACCACCACACCACCCACAGTCGACACATGCCCACCAGAATAACCTGGTGAAGATAATGGTTCAACTACTAAATACATATACACACGGGGCAATCAGATACAATGTGCCTGGATGAAGGGGATTGGACAACCTTTCAGGAATTGGAGTGCTTCTTCCTTGCTGCTTGGCTTTTCTCTAATAATCCCTTCATGGACAACCACCTAAAAGTCAACTATCATTCAGTATGTAATAATGCAGAGAGTGACAATCTAGTAAAACCACAGATGAGGTACATATGTTCAACCACACAATCCAAAAGCCCGTAAAAGAAAGAAAACATCCCTAAGAGAATGTGAACACATGAACTACTTAGATTATGCATCATTACCATTAAACTTTACACTGCTGACTAACGCACCTATCAATAGATTATTTCTTCATTAGCCAAATGCTCCATTATGAATAGAAAAGTATAATAGATCATGCTGAGCCATTATTGCCAGCTTAGCTCAATCTGCCTCTCTGGTATGCGCATCTGTGTTCCATGTAGGCTGCTGAGACACCTATGGGTTATGCTCTGCATAATCCCCATCTCATTTCGCAAGAGCTTTCCCAAGACACGGTCAAGTAAATCTCACCTCACCAAGTTCATTTATGAGATAGTCAAGTTAAATTATTTAGATTACTTCCTCCAAACTGAGAACTTATCCATCAGTGGAGTTCAACAATCGAGAGGCAAAGTACAATCTAATTAAATCTTGAGTAGCAACCAATTTTCAATTTAAACTAATGAGATATGAATCTAGCCAAAACAGTATGTAAACAAATAAAAAAGATAATGCATAAATGAACTTGTCATGTTGTCGCGAGCCTAGGATACACCAAATTTAGGTCAGTAAAAGTTGGTTGGTGTTAAGTACTCCCTCCGTCCCATAATATAAGAGCGTTTTTTACACTAGTGTCAAAAAGGCTCTTATATATGGGACGGAGGGAGTACATAAGTACATGTGTTGTTTAACTAGCAGCATTCCCCCAAAAAGAGGAAGAAAAAATGATGAACCAGATCGAAGGAGCAGAAGAAATACAATGAAGAGACCGCATTTCACCAGATCTAACACATATCATAATTCTCTAAACTGACGATTATTACACGAAGGACTTTTCCCTACTAAATTATGCCTTAAATAGCATTAAAAATGACAGGTCTTATTTTTAAACAACTTTACGAACTGAGAATTATATATCTAAAACTGAAAAGAAGTATTGAGTACACCATTTGCATTTGGTGATATCACATTAGCGTATATGTATGCATATGGAATGACCACCCTCGTGCTACCAGAAGTAGCCAACTAAAGTAGAATCCATGGAACTTCAAGTTATGTAAAGAACAAAGAGAAGCCACAATGCGGCATAGACATAATTACAACATATTTATGTATTACAGATATACTCCCTCTGTTTCTAAATATAAGTCTTTTTAGAGATTTCAATGCGGACTACATACCGGAGCAAAATGAGTGAATCTACACTCTAAAATATGTCTATATACATCCGTATGTAGTCCGTATTGAAATCTCTAAAAGGACTTATATTGGGGAACGGAAGGAGTACCATTCAAGTTCTGTCTAAACCAGTAGCACATAGGCAATTGACACATACTATGTCAGAGGTGATCAGGAGTGTTGGTTCGTCGCCTTCCTTCTGGTAATCCGAAATGTTCATTCTAGACATGATAGCATCAGCCTGAAATATGCATAAAATGGTTAATACCAGTAAGGAAATTAACTGTCAGAACATAAACAACATCTATGCAGAAGATCAATGCTTGCTCTTGATATTTATGACTAGCAATCCAGCATTTCCTTTTCTTTTTAAGATTAAAATGTAGCAGTGCCGGCTCATAGACCGGGGCAACAGGGCACTCACCCTGGGCCCGCGAGAGGCAGGGGCCTCAGGCCCAGGTAATACTTTTATAGTAGTACTAGTATAGTCCTGCCATAGGCCCAAGAAAGTGATCTTCTGTGGAGCTACATTGTTTCCTTACTATCATGAATCCATGATGTAGTTCTCTTGATCGATGAACAGCTTGAGTGTCAATTTTAGAGTTCAAAGATCATCGATCTATGCTATGTGCTGGATATTTACTTTTGCTTTTGAAATGCAAAATATTTTGTGTCGTCTTGCCCCTGGGCCCGGCATATTTGTCGGCTCGCCCTGAAAGGTAGATAGATGGATACGAACAGACCACCAGGCACGTACACATGCGCAACCCAGCAGAAATTCACCAATTATTTTTATTTCTATTTATACTCCAACGATAAGTGTATGACTAAACTAAAACTGACAATAATACAACTGTAAAATGATCTGCATATCTCATTGAAGCTACCATGGTTTTTTTAGTTCGGTACTGTGGCCCAATAAGCTTATCCAGATATTGTAGCAACAGAAACTCCTCACGTTCTCCTGAAAGAGAAACATGCACTAAAGTTTGAGTCAGCAATGCATCTTTTTCAAGAATGCGCAAAGCAATTGCTACTGAACCATACAAGCTATCACAATGGAAACTAATCTAAAGCCACTCTTATGCTAAGAATGAAACTGAGGCACAACAGGAACTAGAAACCATTTTTGTTACGAATCTCTACACTTAAAACATATGCAAGGTTTCCTCTCCCGTCGCAGAGTGTGTTTCGCTCTGTTTTGTCCATCCCCTTCGTCTGCACTCTTCCATGTTTGACCTCCCTCCCAAGTCCGGTTTTCCACTTTCCTTTATGTTTGCCCCTATAATCGCGCCACAAACCCTATCTCCTTCCCTGCTTCGCACGCCCACCCACCCTCTCTCGCCTGAACGTTGCCGCCTACCTCACGCGCCTGGGAGTCGCCGCCCCATGCATCGTGCAAGATGCCAGCGCTCTCGTCTGCCTCCACTAGCGCACGCCGATCTGTGACGCCCACGGCAGCCGCTCACGCTTTGTGCCCAGCTGCGGCAACCGCCACGCCCCGCTGCCACCTGACAGCACTCACGTAAAAGGTTGCCCTACGCCGGCCGACATTCTCCAGATCCTCTCTGTCTAGGTGCAGTCATTGCTGATTTTTTAGATTATATTCTCTTTGGAATAGTTGATTGACATACTAATACTCTCATGGAGTGCATGCAGAATTGTTAGTTGTGGGTATGGGGAGATGTGGTTGCTCGTGTGCGAGAAATTGGCACTAATGAGTTGTCTGCTGTTGCGCACATTGCTTTTTGTTGATTCCTGCGAGATGCCCGGCCCATTCAGTTTTTGGAGTTTGCCCCCATCTAGATGGCATTGCATGTAAGATCAGAATGAGCATGCACCCTTGCGGATACTATGTTTATTCATGTATACTTACTGCTTTTTTTTAGCATATGTACTTTGACATGGTTTGCCTGCAGTCCTGCACTATAAGAGGATCAGTTGATTATTACTCCCATGGTTAGGCGATCAATGCCATCATGTTGATTGGAGATGACTGATATCACTTGGATTAAGAAATAACATAGCAGCATGATCTGGCAGAGGTTGGCACTGAAACTTGTATATGTTTTATTGTATAAATTGCTTTTGATTGAATGCTATAATCGAATTGCTGTCCATTTTCTCATGGCACAGATTATGGAGTTTGAGATATCTGCTCTAAATAAAATTGTGCGCATTCATAGTGTTTGCCCAAGGGCCTCCATGTTAACCTGCGTAACATGCACATGCTTGGCATTGAGTTTGAGATATCTGTTGAAGTTCAAATTGGCATGCTTGTTATGCTAGACCACACCTATGACTGTCAAAGGAGGCTCACTTGGAACTGATTGTCGCTAAAGAGAGCATGAAGGTGTTCTTTTTTAATTGAACTATGGGTAACTTAGGTGCATTTAACTGTTGGAAAAAGCATAGCCATTTGAAAATACGGGAGTCCTTTGTGAAGAAAAATTGCTCAGTGATGGTCATGTTGATTTTGTGTTCTTGTTAGAAGAGGGCCCCGTGAAAGGGCTCATTGCCGCATCAGTCAGGTCGGCAGCCTAGACGGCATGGTGGCGGACAAGTGTCAGCACCACGGTGGGGGTACAACCCACGTCAAGGCGGTAGTCTGCCCGGTGATAGCGGTATGTGTGAGATCAGCTGAGCCGGGTGCAAGCTCCATTGCACCGCGCGAGCCAGCAGCGCCGTCGCCATGTTCCGGCTCGACAAGCACAGGAGCTCAGAGGAGGCCATCGTGGAGCTGTTGTCACCTCGGCAGACAACAAAGCCCACGCAGAATGACAATGGCGAGGCGACCTGGTAGTGTGGAGGAGCAGGACCATGGGGAGGTCTCGATTTTAAGTAGTGGATGGAGATCTTGGTTGCTAGCATACACAAGGTTTAAAGGATCGATTAATAAAATAAGTATTTGAGTACTATGTATTTTTTCTAGGAAATTGACACTTCGGCTTATCAATCCAGTACTATTTTCTTCATCTTACTAGCTTGAGATTGTTTCAAAGGAAGTATTGACTATCTAAATGGCTAAGAAGTCATGTGATCATAATACATTACTACTTTCTTCATGTTATATGCTTACATGGGAGAATGAATTGGTTAAAGAGGACAACAAATACCATTTTAATTTGAAGTGGTACAGTCTTGCGGAAAAACTTTTTAACAGAACTTTGAGATTTACATGTATCCGACTTATGCACATAATGGCCACACACTATGGAGGAACTTTTTAATTGATGAAATGACGTATGACAGGAACTCCTGGTGATTTATGATTCATGTAAGCCTTAGGAATATTTTAGCCGCATCATAGGAAAAATAATTTGAAAGAGAGAGTTGTGGTGAATTCAGCTATCATGATGTTAACTTGCTTCCTTTAATTGGAACTTGGCTATCATGGTGTTTACTGTCCTTCGTTCGCGCTTGCTTTGACATTGCTATGCAAAATTGATGCTTATGTATCTTAATGTGGATCATGTTTGTAAGATCAAGTGTATTGTCTGGTGACCTCGAAACACCATGGTTTTTATGGTACTCTTGTTGCATTGAAAATTGTTGACTCTAGTAGCAACGCACAGGCAATTACCTAGTAGAAAAACTGGGGAAAGATTCTACCTTGGCCTCCGCAAGAAGCATGACTAGCTCATCCGGATCCTCCCTTCTTATGCTCCTCTCGTCGATGTCCGCGGTCTGAAACCAAGAAACCCAATCCACTCAAGGAATAGCTTCAATTCTTTCTAAAGGAAACTATAACTGACAGCCCAACCCACCATGACTTGGAACTCGAACCCCATCTCGTTGAGGATGTTCTTCCTGGCCACTGACGAAGACCCCAGGATCAACTGCGACAAATTCACTCAACACATGTCACGCACTGAGACTAGCGGTGAGCCAAACGAAGGGGCTTGTTAACCGTGAGGCGAACCTTGAATGGCTGGGGGTTCGCGGTGGGGGAGGAGGATGTGGTCATTGGGGTCACGCCGGAGAGAAGGCGGGCTTCAGAGTGGCGGCGCGGAGGGGAGAGGAGGCGCTGCGGGTGGGTTCCGAGAAGATGCGGCGGCCGCTGTTGAGGACGGGGTGCGGCGGTCGCATATGGCGCCACCGGGCATAGGAGATTGCAGGGACGGTGGGAAGATTGCATTTTTCCTCCAGTCAGTAATAAATTCAACGTGGAAGAAAGAAATTTTGTACGCGACATTTTGCATCTGTCGCATATGTAAGAAGTCCTATATACAGTAATCCCTCCGTCCGGAATTTCTTGTCACGGAAATAGATGTATCTAGACGTAGTTTAGTTATAAATACATCCACTTTTATTCATTTCCGCCACATGTAATTTGGGAGTATGACCTAAAACTGGGTATGTCTCTAAAATGAGCCAAAACATCCCCTACTCAGATTAAAGCATCTCTGGCCGAATGCATAAATTTTCGTCCCTTATACGCATTCTAAAATTTCAAGCGGTTCCTCTCCGACTCCTAAAAGCATCTTTAATAGAAGCACCGGCGAGGAAGAAGGCTTCCACAGTCAAACCACGTGGTGGCGGCTCGAAGCGGCCGCTGCACGACCCTGCCGTGGCTTCATCCCGGCCGGAGAAGACGAAGGCGGCCGCGGCTGCTGATGTTTCTTCGTTGTCATCGTCGTCTGCGGCTGTGTGTTGTTGTTGCTGCTGGCGCACCTCCTCCCCTCCCCCCCTGTCCCGTCGCCGACGTGGTGGCACCGTCTCCAACTTTTTTGATGAAATGCCGCAAAGGTATTAAATATTCTTCTTCTTCTTCATTGTTCTTTTGTCGTATTGATATCAATAGAATGTGAGATTGTGTGTGCATGCATTTGTAATCTTGATGATGATACATTTATGCACTTGACAAATGTTGTGAATGAAGATTTTGTTTTTCAAGTTTTTTCATCCTAAAAATATGATATGCCATATGATGATGAGAATCTTGACAGACGAGATGTATGGCTTGGAAGCGAGTCTCTCTTGATGCCTCCGTCGGAATTGACTAATTGGCTAGCACATGTTAAAAGCGCATCAAAGAATTATTGATGAACGGAACACAAGTGGCCATTATCGACCATTGGATTCTATTCGGCGTCGACGGTCCACTATAAACGTCGAATGTCAAAAATGTGGGGGTTGCTTGGTCAATGCCGATCGCATGAACCCAAGTGGTTGCAATGAAACGGACATGGTAATTGCTTGCTACATTCAAATGCTTTCTCTAAGTATGCATATGTTCCTAATTAACCGAGTTTCTTTATTGTTTATGTAGCTCATGCTTGCTCAAGGTTTCTTCCAAGAAAGAGCGAAGAACGGGGATAATAATAAGAATAAAGGAAAATCGTTCACTTTCCAACTTTCTTACGAAGAGCTCGAGCATGAGGAGAAGTGGAAGGATCATGAAGCTTTTGAAGTTCCTAGGAGGAAGAGCTTGGTTGTTGATCGTGATGATGACGGTGTTGGTGGTGAGGAGGGGAGGATGAGCCCCACTCCTCACTCGATTCCTCCTCCCCCTCCTCACTCGGTTGCCAAGCATATAGGCCCGATGGAAGGAGAAAAGGGGGTCAAAGGCTGGAGACAATGATCTTAAAGAAGGATTTGAAGCCATTGTCATTGCGAGAAAAGAGTATGCTGAATAAAAAAGAGTCTTGAAATTGAAAGAAATGGAGGAGATGGCGAGCGACTGCTACTTCTCGAGCATGCGTTGGTTTTTTCTTTGAAGAGGAAAGGGTGATACAACAAAGTAGAGATAAGTATTTCCCTCAGCTTGAGAACCAAGGTATCAATTCAGTAGGAGACAACACACAAATAACTGAATACCTGCACAAACAATCGAACAAACTTGCACCCAACACGATAAAGGGGTTGTCAATTCCTTCACGGTTACTTGCAAGAGTGAGATCTAATAGAGATAGATAAACGATATAGTAAATATTTTTGGTATTTTTGGTTTATAGATCGGAAAGTAAAAGATTACAAGAATAGTAGATCGGAAACTAAGATTGTAGATCGGAAACTTATATGATGGAAAATAGACCCATGGGCCATAGGTTTCACTAGAGGCTTCTCTCAAGATAGAAAATAATACGGTGGGTGAACAAATTACTGCCGAGCAATTGATAGAAAAACGCAAAGTTATGACGATATCTAAGGCAATGATCATGAATATAGGCATCACGTTCGTGTCAAGTAGACCGAAACGACTCTGCATCTACTACTATTACTCCACACGTCGACCGCTATCCAGCATGCATCTAGAGTATTAAGTTCATAAAGAACGGAGTAACGCATTAAGTAAGATGACATGACGTAGAGGAATTAACTCAAGCAATATGATGAAACCCCCATCTTTTTATCCTTGATGGTAACAATACAATACGTGCCTTGCTGCCCCAACTGTCACTGGGAAAGGACACCACAAGATTGAACCCAAAGCTAAGCACTTCTCCCATTGCAAGAAAAACCAATCTAATTGACCAAACCAAGTCGATAATTCGAAGAGAATTACAAAGGTATCAAATCATGCATATAAGAATTCAAAGAAGATTCAAATGATATTCATAGATAAGCTGATCATAAATCCACAATTCATCGGATCTCGGCAAACAAGCCGCAAAAAAAAGGTATTACATCGAATAGATCTCCAAGACCATCGAGGAGAACATGGTATTAAGAATCAAAGAGAGAGAAGAAGCCATCTAGCTACTAGCTATGGACCCGTAGGCTTTGGTAAACTACTCACGCTTCATCAGAAGGGCAATGGTGTTGATGTAGAAGCCCTCCGTTGTCGAATCCCCCTTTGTCAAGATGCCGAAAAAGGTCCCTAAATGGGATCTCACGGGTACAGAAGGTTGCGGCGGTGGAAAAGTGTTTTCGTGGATGCCTCTATTGGTTTGGGCATATATGGGAATATATAGGCGAAAGAATTAGGTCAGGAGGTGCACGAGGGGCCCATAAGGGTGGGGGGTGCCCTACCCCCCTGGGCGCGCCCTCCGTCCTTGTGGCCGTCTCGTGGCTCCTTCGACTTCATCTCCAAGTCTCCTGGTTGTCTTCTGGTCCAAGAAAAATCATCGCGGAGGCTTTATTCCGTTTGATATTCCTTTTCTGCGAAACTCAAAATCAGGGAAAAAAATAGGAACTGACACTGGGCTCTAGGTTAATAGGTTAGGTTAGTCCCAAAAAAATATAATAGCATAATAATGCATATAAAACATCCAAAACAGATAATATAATAGCATGGAACAATCAAAAATTATAGATACGTTGGAGATGTATCAAGCATCCCCGAGCTTAATTCTTGCTCGTCCTCGAGTAGGTAAATGATAAAAACAGAATTTTTGATGTGGAATGCTACCTAACATATTTATCCATGTAATTTTCTTTATTGTGGCATGAATGTTCAGATCCGTAAGATTCAAAACAAAAGTTTAATATTGACATAAAAACAATAATACTTCAAGCATACTAACAAGGCAATTATGTCTTCTCAAAATAACATGGCCAAAGAAATCTTATCCCTACAAAATCGTATAGTCTGGCTATGCTCCATCTTCATCACACAAAATATTCAAATCATGCACAACCCCGGTTTCAGCCAAGCAATTGTTTCATACGTTAGTATTCTCAAACTTTTTCAACTTTCACGCAATACATGAGCGTGAGCCATGGACATAGTGTAGGATCGGAAGTATGTCTAGAGGGGGGGTGATTAGACTACTTGACCAATTAAAAACTTAACCTTTTCCGAATCTTAGTCTTTGGCAGATTTTAGCTATCTTAGCACAATTCAAGCAAGCATGCAAAGAGTATATGAGCAGCGGAAAGTAAAGCATGCAACTTGCAAGAATGTAAAGGGAAGGGTTTGGAGAATTCAAACGCAATTTGGAGACACGGTGATTTTTGAGCCGTGGTTCCAATAGGTGGTGCTATCGTGCATCCACGTTGATGGAGACTTCAACCCACGAAGGGTAACGATTGCGCGAGTCCACGGAGGGCTCCACCCATGAAGGGTCCATGAAGAAGCAACCTTGTCTATCCCACCATGGCCGTCGCCCACGAAGGACTTGCCTCACTAGCGGTAGATCTTCACGAAGTAGGCGATCTCCTTGCCCTTACAAACTCCTTGGTTCAACTCCACAATCTTGTCGGAGGCTCCCAAGTGACACCTAGCCAATCTAGGAGACACCACTCTCCAAGAAGTAACAAATGGCATGTTGATGATGAACTCATTGCTCTTGTGCTTCAAATGATAGTCTCCCCAACACTCAACTCTCTCTCACAGGATTTGGATCTGGTGGAAAGAAGATTTGAGTGGAAAGCAACTTGGGGAAGGCTAGAGATCAAGATTCATATGGTAGGAATGGAATATCTTGGCCTCAACACATGAGTAGGTAGTTCTCTCTTAGAAATGGTAAGTTGGAAGTGTAGGTTTGTTCTGATGGCTCTCTCCACGAATGAAGAGGAGGTGGAGGGGTATATATAGCCTCCACACAAAATCTAACCGTTACACACAATTTATCAATCTCGATGGGACCGAATCAACAAACTCGGTCAGACCGATTTAGTAAACCTAGTGACCGTTAGGGTTTTCGGTGGGACCGACATGCAACTCGGTAGGACCGATATGGTTAGGGTTAGGGCATAACGTAATCTCGGTGAGACCGATTACACAAACTCGGTGAGACCGATTTTGGTAATAAGCTAACCAGAGAGTTGGTCAGGTAAACTCGGTGGGACCGATTCGCTCTTTTCGGTTGGACCTAAATGTTACGAAAAGGAAACAGAGAGTTTACATTGAAATCTCGGTGGGACCGATCGCTCACTTCGGTTAGACCGAAACGTTACGAAGGGAAACAGAGAGATTACAATCCCATCTCGGTGAGATCGATTTGCCTAGGGTTTGTGGCAGTGGCTATGACATCTGAACTCGGTGGCGCCGGATAGAAAGAATCGGTGGGGCCGAGTTTGACTTTAGGTTTAGGTCATGTGTGGATATGAGAAAGTAGTTGAGGGTTTTTGGAGCATATCACTAAGCACTTGAAGCAAGAAACTCATTAAGCAACACCTCATCCCTCCTTGATAGTATTGGCTTTTCCTATAGACTCAATGTGATCTTGGATCACTAAAATGTAAAATGTAGAGTCTTGAGCTTTTGAGCTTGAGCCAATCCTTTTATCCTTAGAATTTTGAGGGATC